CAACTTTAAACGTAAAATATTTGTGATCTGGAGGATCTCTCTATATACATTTTATCCTGAAATATAAGTATAAAGACCAATTGTTTCTCATGTTTTATATATTATTTGTAAGTAATTAGGATAGTAGTTTGTCACACCACTATTATTTATTAACGTAATAGAATTAATAACCTAATGATTTAAAACAAATTTCATATTTATACATACTTATGTATATATATATATATATGAGTGTATGTAAAACATGATGTCGTTATACAAAGTAAAATTATGTTAATTTGAGATCCCCTTCTATGAAAATAGTTAGATATATATGAATATTTGATAATATTGTAGTCGCTTCAAAGGCATAACATTACTTACAAGTAATATAATCAAACATGCAATGCGTACCTTCTTAAATTTACTACACATACTGCCAGAAGATTTTATTAAACCGACAATATCTATGTGAATAATATAAACTGTGTTAAAAAACGGGTCGGCTAATAATAACGTCCGCGCTTTGTGGATAAAATGGGTATGGGCGGATAGAGGAGATCCTCCAGATCAAGAATATATATAGATATAGCGGGAAACTTATAGTTTCGAGATATTTACGTTTAAAGTTGAAAATTTCAACTATTTAAAGACATTTTGCGATTTAAAATGAATTATCCACTATATATTATAACATATGACTAATTTAGTTAGAAATTTTTTATACTAGATGCTGCAAAATAGCTTTATTTTATTTAAATCATTCTTCAATTTTATTATATGAATAACAAAATGGTGTGAATGTCAAAAATACAGTGTTGCCATACTATATATATATATACGAGAAAATAAATAAACAGAAGAGAAACCCAGATACAGATATTATTTTTAAAGCGCGGAAGGCCCACAAAAAAAAGTTCTGTGCGAAAATATTTGATACACCCGGTGTTGACCGACCAGGGTTATTTTTTGAAGCGGGCCGAAGGCCGCCAACGCAAAAGAAGTTCTACAGAAAAAAGTATATTGTCATAGAGGGTATAACATAATACTTAACATCAACGCTTTGTAATAGTTTATTTCTCTAGGTTTGGATTCCTGTATTGTGGGTATTATCTGTTTTAATTTCTTTCAGTTCAATTACAAAGATGTCGAAAGGTAACACTGGTTATTTGAAATTTTGCAACCCTTTTGCTATTGTCAGAAATATAGTATTTAACAATAATTTAATTATTGATTTATACATTTTTTGCACTATATAATGTAAATAAATGTGTACAAACGAATTAGTGAAGTGTTAGTGGATATAAAAATAAAAATATAAGTGTATAACTCATTCGAATGGGAAAATGCGTACTTTAAATAGTCGAAATTTGAACTTTAAACCAAATATCTCGAAAACTATAAGTTTCCGCGGCTTTATCTATATATATCTTGATCTGGAGGATCTAATTATCCGCCAATACCCATTTTATCCCGAAAGCGTGGACGTTTATAAAGTTTTCCCAGCAAAACACAATTTGTATAAGAATTTACGATTGAAATAATATTTATAACGAATGCAAATCTATTAAGACCAACGTATATTCAAATATTTCGAAGCATTCAAGGATTATAATGCTAGTTGTGTGCTTTGATACAGCTAGATTCTATTTACTGGATTTCATTGTATAAATCTAATTTATATGTAGAAATAAATGTATACAATGCTGGATATTTAAATGAGAACATATGGAAATAAACATTGGAGTCAGCTGTTTTGCAATCCACTGTTGCAGCTCGCACTTTTCTTTATACCAATTACACATCACCATAATTTAGTGTTCAATCTTACACATGTTCCGACCGACACTTAGTCACATGATTTAGGTTGTTGAGTAGATAATCTACTAATCTTTTGATTTAGTAAGATTTCGTCACACAAGTTTGACGCTTGTAAATTTAGTCACTAAGAAATTTGAATCGAATCATGCGAAATTTTGTGCGCCAAGATTAGCGTCATCTGTTGTCAGTAGGGGAATATATCACATTACCAGAGCAGAGAATGTTAATAAATAGAGAAGGAGCAAATGTTACATGAAATCTTTTTGAGTACTAATTTGTAATTCCAGATGATAGACATCGAAAAATATAACTTCGAAAAGAAAAATACACAAGCAATGTGCGAATATTCCGAAATGAAAATCGTTGGCATACCTATTTAGATTTATGTTTTCAATTTCTATGATATGACTCAATATAAAAATAACATTAAATAGGCAATTTTACAAACTTATGTACTTATGTGCGTTGCGTGAGCAATTGCTTATTGAGCAAAGGATAACAATAAAACGGTGGCTAAGAGGCCGTGTTTCCACTTTTGGCTGAGGTCGTAAGCGGGAAGGGATTAAGCACAATTCGAATATGAGCCTATACGCTCGAATCCTAAAACTCATGTAAATTAAATTTTATCTAATTTTTTTATTTTATTGATTGGAGTCTAAGCATATCATAATTCTATTTCTTTAATAGCATATTTTACTTCCTGATATAATTAAAATATATCTGGAAAATATGTTCATATGGTTAGGTTTATTGAATATTTCCTTATTATGCGTATTTACACAAATGTGATAATCACACATACATTCTTAAATACACGTACGCTGATGCTTGCTTCTTTTTGCCCCGCACAAACAATGACTTTTGTTCACACTTTTTGCTTTTTGCGAGAAGCAAGTTGAACGATCACAAGCAAGGAGGGGATGGGGCGCACTGCCACATAATTATTTCAGATACTTTTTATTAATCGAATTTATTTTAAAAACCATTATAAGTATGACACGCCTCTGTGCATGGTGGCAAGCCAGCGAAATAACGGCGAGTTCGCGCGGACATTGTGTTGTTGAAATAAACCAAATGACGACTTTGTCGAAAAACATACATATATACATATTAGCTCGCATACATATTGATGCCGAATTTTGAGCATCTGGCATAGTTGACAAAATTTGTTTGAATCCACAATTTTACGACAATGTCGGTCGGCTATGTTGTCTCGTTTGTCGTTTTTGCAGTGGTTTGCTATTGAAAGTTGACTTATGCTCTCTCTTGCGATTACCGATTGGGCTGCATTTTCATAGCGTCGTATTTGGATAAAATGGGCTAAATCGACAAACTATGAAATAATGATAATAAGTAAACATATAAAAGTACTATATGGAGTGTGCTTAGAGTATATAGAAGTAGTTAATGATTTCATATAGATGTTAATTTTATATAAATTTTATAATTTAAAGCCATATATAGTGCATAATATGAATAAAATTAAAATATTATTTTAACTCGCTAATAGGTCATGTTGCCAATTCTCCTTTCTGAAGGGAACATCAGACCAATTCTTCAATTTCTGATTTTTAGCAAATGTTGTGAGGAAGCAGCTTGTGGGCAACATACAAATGCGAGGGGGATGGTAGGATTTTCAGTGGTGGCTGTCAAATTGTAAAATTGAATTTTTCTCGTTTTACTGAAATCATTCAAATTAAATTTCATTCATTCATTCATTTTATAAACTTAATTTCGCATTTGCGTAGGAATTCTATATGAAAACCAAATGTGGTTTACCAGGCGCACAAAAAAAATAGCGCGGCGCAGAGTTATGAACGAACGAACTTTGCTTTGAAGCTGACGCACGTTCCTTGCGCGAATGTTTAATTTTTTGCGAAAGACATTTTGAGGGACATACATATGTTCATATGTGTACATATATGCAAATATATTTGGACATGCGAATGCAAGAAGGCAATTTCAAAAATATTCACATATGGACATATGAACATTTGAAGCAAGTAAACAATAATAGCTGTTTGACTTCACAGATTAGACAAAATTGCTCCAATATCGTTTGTGGTGGTGCTTGTATAGCACAATTCTTTATTGCAACATCAAATATTTTGCCTAAGTTCAAATCCTATCAGATATTTTTTTATACTCTTTTTTTATTTTTATAACCGTTTTTTATTAAATTATATTTTCATTCTATTTTCATATTATTTCCCTCATTATTTATATTTTTTTGTCAGAAGTCAATTTCTTTCGTTTTTATTACTTAAATTTTTGTTTATGCGCTTACCAAAGAACATCTGTACATATGTATGTATATACATGCTTAGAGTTGTGTAGTTCGTCGCGTAAATTGATAGGTGTGGTGACATTTTATATTCGAACTTGCGCGTTTTCGATGTTCTTTCATCGTAATTTACATTTTAAAACAGCTAACATTTGCTCCTTCTGTATTCATTCGTCGATTCAAACAAATTTTGTCAACTCCGCCAGATGCTCAAAATTCGGCGTCAATATGTATGCGAGCTCATATGTATATATGTATGTTTGTCGACAAAATCATCATTTGGAACTCGCCGTTATTTCGTTGGCTTGCCACCATGCACAGAGGCGTGTCATACTTATAATGGTTTTTAAAATAAATTCGATTAATAAAAAGTATCTGAAATAATTATGTGGCAGTGCGCCCCATCCCCTCCTTGCTTGTGATCGTTCAACTTGCTTCTCGCAAAAAGCAAAAAGTGTAGACAAAAGTCATTGTTTGTGCGGGGCAAGAAGAAGCAAGCATCAGCGTAAGTGTATTTAAGATTGTTTGTGTGATTATCACATTTATGTAAATACGCATAATAAGGGAATATTATTATTATATTAATAAAATTAAAAAATCAAATAAAATTTCAGTTTCATGAGTTTTAGGATTCGAGCGTATAGGCTCGTATTCGAATTGTGCTTAATCCCTTCCCGCTTACGACCTCAGCCAAAAGTGGAAACACGGCCTCTTAGCCACCGTTTTATTGTTATCCTTTGCTCAATAAGCAATTGCTCACGCAACGCACATAAGTACATAAGTTTGTAAAATTGCCTATTTAATGTTTATTTTATTATGAATTGTCATATCATAGAAATTGAAAACATAAATCTAAATAGGTATGCCCAACGATTTTTCATTTCGGAATATTCGCACATTGCTTGGTGTATTTTTCTTTTTCGAAGTTATATTTTTCGATGTTCTATCATCTGGAATTACAAATTAGTACTCAAAAAGATTTCATGTAACATTTGCTCCTTCTCTATTTATTAACATTCTCTGCTCTGGTAATGTGATATATTCCCCTACTGACAAACAGATGACGCTAAATCTGTGGCGCACAAAATTTCGCATGATTCGATTCAAATTTCTTTAGTGACTAAATTTACAAGCGTCAAACTTGTGTGACGAAATCTTACTAAATCAAAAAGATTAGTGAGATTATCTACTCAACAACCTAAATCATGTGACTAAGTGTCGGTCGGAACATGGTGTAAGATTGAACACTAAATTATGGTGATGTGTAATTGGTATAAAAGAAAAGTGCGAGCTCAGCAGTGGTAAGTGGATTGGCAAAACAGCTGACTCCAATGTTTTATTTCCATGATGTTCTCATTGAAATATCCAGCATTGTATACATTTTATTTCTACATATATAAGTTTAGATTTATACAATGAAATCCAGTAAATAGAATCTAGCTGTTATCAAAGCACACAACCTAGCATATTAATCCTTGAATGCTTCGAAATATTTGAATGAATACGTTGGTCTTAATAGTATTGCATTCGTTATATAATATTATTTCAGTCGTAAAAGTTCTTATACAAAGTTGGTGTTTTTGCTAGCATTTAACACAGTTATAGATATTGTCGGTTTAATAAAATCTGGGGCAGTATGTGTAGTAAATTTAAGAAGGTTACGCATTGCATATTTGATATGGACGGTTTATTACTAGGTAAGTAGATGTTATGCCTTTGAAGCGACTACAACATAAATTCTGAATTTCCAATAATTAATCTAACTATTTTTCATAGGAATCGGATCAAAATTAACAGACCTAATTTTTACTGTTTGTATAACGACATCATGTTTTACATACACTCATATTATATATACATATGTATAAATATGAAATTTGTTTTTAAATCATTAGGTTATTAATTCCATTAGTGGGCAGTTAAATAAAAAGTAAAGTGGTGTGACAAACTACATACCCTCCGAATCTAATTACAAAAAGTATATAAAACATGAGAAACAATGGGTCGGCTTTAGTATAACGTCCCAAGCTTTCAGGGATAAAACGGGTATGGGCGGATAGAGGAGATCCTCCAGATCACGAAAATTTACGTTTAAAGTTGAAAATTTAGAAAAAATATTTAAAGTACGCATTTTTTCGATTTCAAATGAATTATACACTTATATTTTCCATTTTTATATCCACTAACACTTCACTAATTCGTTTGTACACATTTATTTTACATTATATAGTGCAAAAATAGTTTAATTCAATAATTAAATTATTGTTAAATTTCCTTAATTTTGACAATAACAAAAGAATTGCAAAAAGTCAAATAACCAGTGTTACATTATCATATTACAAAAATCTTTTGTAATTGAACTGAAAGAAATTAAAACAGATAATACCCCAAATACAGGGATCCAAAACCTAGATAAATAAACTATTACAGAGCATTGATGTTAAGTATTACGTTATACCCTCTATGACAGTATTACTTTTTCTTGTAGAATTTTTTTTTGCGTTGGCGGTAAGCAGTGGTATATCAGGTGTTTTTGCGCAGAAATTTTTTTTGCGTTGGCGGCCTTTGGCCGCGCTTCAAAAAAATAACCCTGGTCGGTCCAACACCGGGGTGTATCCAGGTTTTTTTTGCGCAGAACTTCTTTTTGCGTTGGCGGCCTCCAGCCGCGCTTCAAAAAAATAACCCTGGTCGGTCCAACACCAGGGTGTACCAAGGTTTTTACGCGCAGAAATTCTTTTTGCGTTGTTTCCTGTATCTAGGGTATAATCTCTCTGTTTATTTTAATTTTCTTCGTTTACAAAATATATTAGTATGACAACACTGGTGTTTTGACATTCACAACCATTTTGTTATTGTCAAAATAATTAAAATTGAAGAATGATTTAAATATGGAAATAAAACTATTTTTGCAGCATCTAATATAAAAACAAATAAGGAAGGGCTAAGTTCGGATGTAACCGCACATTTTATACTCTCGCAAAGTTAAATGGTATATTCGTTTGAGACTTCTTTATATATTTTAAAAATTAGAAGTAAGAACTGTTGCCTTAGTTATTTACTTTTCACTCACAGTGAAAATAATTAGAGCAATTTGTAAACTAAATTTACTCAAATTATGAGAAATCGTTCTTGTGCTTTTTGTATACGCTTATAATTGATTTTATATAGAATGCATTACAACTGTATTGAGAAGTATGAAAACAAATCGTTTTTGGACAATGAATAACATTTTTTATTTATTATATCGATATTATTATACATGTTAAGCTTAAAAATAATAAATATTAACAACTTTAAAAATGATATAATATTATTATATTAATTTGTATATAATATTTACAATATTAAACATAAATTTTTGTAGAGATTCTTATATATATATCCAAATAATATTTTTTTTTCCTTATACTATTTAATTTCTATCATATATTTATACAATAATGTCATATATAATAACAAATTATACATAAAATTTAAATTTTTTTAATTAGATTATTTACATATTTTTCTTAAAATTGTCTTAAAAACTACTGTCAAAATTCCTATATCATTCCAATTCGATTATATTTGGAAAAAAAAATGAAGAACTATTGCACTAAGTCTGAAAACTTTAGTTCGAAATAGAGACACAAATACTGTCATGATAGCTGTGTAATGTCTCAAAAGTAATTGCATTTACACGGGAAGGATCCATGTTTGAAAATGCCCAATCAATTTGTGTACCGGCAGGTGTAGTTGAATATTCTGCACCAAGCAGGGAATTAAAGTTTTTTTCTTGGAGCAGATTTCTTATTGCAGTCCCTGTAGACATTAAACAAATGTTAAAATCTCCAACAATTTTCACATTTTGATTGCCTAACTCAGAAGTAAGGACTTCCTGAAGTTCTACAATTAATTGTCTAACAGAGAAAGCTGAAATTCTATATAGAACCAGAATATTAATATTAAAACATTTAAACAAAACCGCTTCTAAAACTTTGACTTTTGGCCTGAATAAATTTTCTTTACAGCCTTTGATTCTATAGAGCAAGCAATACTATGCTTTGCATATATTATAATGCCCCGTTTATTTCTGTTGGTTGTTTCCGTGCTATCTATCCACAGCTCGTTAATTGGAGTAAATCCTGGTATATCAAAACTTTCGCAAGGATAACTCCAAGTTTCTACAAAACATAAAATATCTGAAGATAGCATCAAACAGTCGCTTTTTATATCATTAATGTGATNCCAACACCGGGGTGTATCAAGTGTTTTTGCGCAGAACTTCTTTTTGCGTTGGCGGTAAGCAGTGGTATATCAAGTGTTTTTGCGCAGAAATTCTTTTTTGCGTTGGCGGCCTTTGGCCGCGCTTCAAAAAAATAGCCCTGGTCGGTCCAATACCGGGATGTATCGAAGTTTCTTTGCGCAGATACATAGAAGAAGGCAAGAACTTTCCTTATTAAAAATATAATAAGCTTCTGAGCTGGTTAAAATTCTGACATTTGGATTCACCACGAAAAATGTCAAAATTTCATTTTCAGCTGCCAGAATTTAAATTTTGCTACCGTTTGGCACACAGCCTTAATCAACTTCTCTTATTTAATATACCATAATATGTTCACAATTACAATCATGCTCCGAATAATTTAGAATTTTGAATCATGAAGCCCCAAATTTATTTTTTGGTTTATTAATTCTTAGATACGGAAAAATTGTATTCGCAAGCTACTCAGGAAATTCTGGATCCGTACGGTAAAACTTACACTTGGGACGTTAAAGTAAGTGTTATAGGGTTGCAGACCCAGCAAGTTGCTGAAGCTATAGTTGCTGCTTATAAATTACCTATAAGCTGGGAAGAATATACACAAAGACAACGGGAGTGAACAGAAATTTTAATGACAGAAGCTGAATTAATGCCAGGTAAATCCAAATTTATTCATCTAATTTTTTTTTTTGTTCTAGATACTGTAGTGGTTTATGAAGAAATTGTAAGACAAATAGCTGGCTCTTTTAACAAGTCTTATTCACGTGATGTGCGGGTAAAAATGTACTAAAATGTTAATTACGATGAGGGAACATCGAAAACGCGCAAGCATAGAATGTTAATGAACAGAGAAGGAGCAAATGTTAGGTGTTCTAATATGTAAATTACGATGGGGGAACATCGAAAACGCGCAAGTTCGACAATAAAATGTCACCACACATTTCAGGGTACGCAACGAACTACACCACTCCATAAGCAAAATGTATATACATACTTATGCACAGATATTCTTTGGTATGCGCATAAACAAAAATTTAAATAATAAAAACGAAAGAAATTGACTTCTGACAAGAAAATATAAATAATGAGGGAAATAATAATGAAAATAGAAAATCCAATAACTGCAAATCAGAAAAAAAGTTGTGAATTGGTTTGAAATTGCATCCAAATAGAAAAGGAGAAAAAATGGAATTTCAATGTTGGAATCTAATGTGCATATGTACCCAACTATATGTTTTACCTATTGGATAAATTTCTAATGACTTCAATGGGTGCTAACTGAGAAAATATTTAAATTGGGTAAGTGCGAAAATATAAAAGAAAAAATAGTAAAAGAGAGAAACGAAATTCCAAAACATCAGTGATAATAAAAGCTTCTTGTGGTGCGGGAATCAAATTTTAAATCGGTTTTAATTTGAATTAAAAAATTTATAAAAATGTCGCAAGTGCGTAAATGTAGTGTGCGCGAGTGTTACGATATTTTTCGGCCAAATGAACAAATTGCACTTATATGGAGGCGAAATTTGGCCCATATAAGCCCCCTCAAACACGTTTGTTTGTGCCGCGCATTTCGCAGATAATGCAATGGGAGCTAAAAAATTGGGGATTGGAGCTGTACCCACACTAAATCTTGGTAAGTAACAAATTTAAATATATTTACATTTTTTGTGATTTTTGCGGTGATTTTTTATATTGATTCAGCATATATATAGTACAATCAATACATATACTGAAGATCAAAAAAATGTAGCGCAAAATATTAATTATATGTCAACGAAGACATATAACTTCTTGAAGGATGATCCTCAGTTTGCGCTGCCGCATCCAAAATCTCTACTGCGCTGGCGCCCAATTAGATATGTCGAGGCAGGGATTGATCCTAGGGTTATAGGTAATTTGAAAACTCTTGTTGAGGAAATGTCCGAACACGAACGGATCTGTGTAATTATATTCGATGAAATTACAATTAAAATAGATCTCGTTTATAACAAAAGTAAGGATGTCATCGATGGTTTTGTTGACAAGGGAGACGGCAATAGGGAATTAAATATTGCCGACAAATGCTGCTTTTTCATGGCGAAAGCTATATCAGCTAATTGGAAATACGTACTTTCGTATTATGTGGCAAAAGGAGGGATGTCCGCAGTAGATTTAGATGTAATATTGAACAAAAACATTGAAGTCTTGGAAATGATAGGACTCAATGTAAAAGCGATCATTTGTGATCAAGGTCCGGTGAATGTCCGATTATATGGTAATTTAAATGTTACAAAATCCAAACCATATGTTATAACCAATGGCAAAAAATTTCATTGCCTATATGACTATTGCCATTTGATTAAGTCAATTAGGAATAATTTATTAAAACACGACTTAAAAACTATCGATGGCATAGCTAGCTTCAAGGTTATAAGGAAGCTGTATGTAATCGATAGTGTAAGTCATCAATTTAAAATATGTCCGAAGTTGATATCCTCCCACATATATCCCAATAACTTCGAGGAAATGAGCGTTTCTAGAGCTACACAGGTGCTCAGCAATTCAGTAGCAGCTGGCATCGACATGGCATTCAGGCAGGGATTATTGGGCACGGATGCATATATATTGAAATGTGCCAAAGGACACAAATGTTGGTAAAACGCATGAACGATTTGTTTGAGATTTTATAATAAAGGCTCAAACTGCGAAGACGATGACGACCTGAATCTTGATTGGAATAACAGGGAGGAAGATCATAACTCCCTCGATGATTCCGAGCAACATGCCGTTGATGTAGTTGACATTCCCGATGAGCACTTTGCAGAAACCGAATAAAATACTGCGGAACTTCAAGTACAGCGGTATTACACTGGATAGAGCTGTTGAAGACTCAAGGAGATTTAAATAAGCACTCCGAGTCTTTAATACGCTCTAAAAACTATAAAGATTGCACCGATCTGCGACTAATCAATCCGACTGACAGAGTTTTTGAAATTTGTCGGATGCAGATGAAGTGGTATACAGAGCTATTCGGAAAATATGCGCATTACTATGGAGTTCGAGAGCTCATCGAGGATGCCATAGATGATAGCACTAAAAACATTTTTCCAGAATGGTTTTTAGAAGCTGGCGAATGCTTGGACCACCGACAACAACTGTTAAAGTCCTTAGTAACAGTGTTGTTGTATAAAAATGCGAAATGGCTGGCTGAAGAAGAGCAGCAAGAAAATGCGCAACGCCTAAAAAATAGTAAACTAAAAAAATTAAATAAATAAGAAATAGGGATCATGGTGCACTTATTTTAAACTAAAATTCCATTGATTGAAGGCAATAGGTATTAGGTGTGTTTTTTTGTGTAAGTAATGTATCATATACATACATATTTAATACAAATTTATTAATATTTTATAAATTTTTCTTCCACATTTAGATGCTCTTCTATTTTCAGCTCTTCTTTATATATTTTCAGGTGTAAATAAGTTTAGTTTAGAAGGTTTAAGTAGTTTTGTATGTAGTTAAAAATGTATTTAAAATATATGTAGAAGTTAGTTATAATAAGTTTTAGTTGTAGTGTAGTTTATATAGTTTTATTGCACATGAGCGTAGTTTTATAAAACAGGTGAATTATTGATTAAATTTATGTAAATAGAAAAAATCGTGTGAGAATTTGTGTTTGAAGAGGAGGCAAATTCGCAAATCGTGTGCAATTAAAACTATTTTTTTGTTTTATAGTTACAATTTAAATAACAAAATTACTTATATGCATTTGTTTTTTTAATTTTAAGGGTTTCCTATTTTTCCATTTCAGATTTTTATTTAGATTAATATAATTAAGAAATACCTACAAGTTTATTTTATTATTATTTTAATTAAATAATAAATTAATTAATAAAATATAAATAAATAAAAATTAATTTATTTGCATTTAATTCGTTAAATATATGAGGTTTTGATAATACATAGGAAGTGTACAGTTAGTGTTTACTTCGTTTGCACAAAGCAGGTAAAAATAGAAATTCATGCATAAATACGTGAATTGCCACGGTCTGTTTGTATGTACTATGACTTGTGTACATACAAACAATTCAATATGCCATATATTCATAATTACAACAAGAACAAATTCATTCATGCATATGCATATCTACATACATGAATACGTGAATATGTCACGGTCTGTTTGTATGTACACACGTCATATGCTCTTCAATATGCCATATATTCATAATTACAATAAGCACAAATTCATTTATACATATATCTACGCATTCAAATAACACCAACAACAAATTCATTCATAAGAACACATGTATTCTACAAGTTGCCCAAAAGCTGCTTCTTCATGGTGATACTAAAAATCAGAAGTTGAAGAATTTTCTAATGTTCACTCCAGAAGAAAAAAATGGCAGCTTGGGTCATTGTCGATTTAATATTTTTGATTTTTGATTTTCATATATTATACTACATATGGTTTTAAATTATAAAATTTATGTAAAATTGCCATTTATATGAAATCCTTTATTACTTCTATATATTCTATGCAAACTACATATAGGGCTTGTATATGTTTACTTATTATCATTATTTCATAGTATGTCGATTTAGACCATTTTATCTAAAAACGACGCTTTGAAAATATAGACCAATCGTTAATCGTAGTATTTCAAAAGAGCATAAGTTAATTTTCAACAGCAAAGCCCTGCAAAAAGGACAAACGAGACAACATAGCCGATCGACATTGTCGCAAAATTGAAACAAATTTTGTCAACTCGCCGTTATTTCGTTGGCTTGCCACCATACACAAAGGCGTTTCAACTGAGGGCTCATAGTATATTATTATGTTGCTTTATTTGTATTGAAAAACACTGATGCATAAAATGACTTCTTTTCGTAATATTATATAATACTAATATATGTACGTAAAAATATAAGTACACATAAATTCATATTTATAATCGTTTTTAAAATAAATTCGATTAATAAAAATATATCTGAAATAATTATGTGGCAGTGCGCCCTGACCCCTCCTTGCCAGCGATCGTTCAGCTTGCTTCTCGGAAAAAGTGTAGAAAAAAATCTTGAATTGGCATAAATAAGCGTATATTCAATAATCCTAAACATATGAACATATTTTCCTGAAATATTTTAATTATCTCTGAAAGTAAAATATGCTATTTAAGTAATTGAATTAAGATATGCTAATTAATTCCATTTAATAAAATAAAAAAATTAAATAAAATTTTAATTTTATGTATTTTACGAGTCGAACGTATATGCTCGTATTCGGATTGACTCCTTCACGCCTACGACCTCAGCCACCTCAAAAGTGGAAACGCGACCGCTTAGCCACAGTTTTATTATTATCATTTGTTCAATAAGTATATTGCTTACGCAACGCACATACAAAAGTTGGAAAAATTGCATATCAAAGGTTATTTTATTATGAATTCTGGGGTTTTTGCCAGTAATCCTCCTTTTTAATTCAAAAGGCTTTTAACAATTATTGAATTGAAAACACAAATCTAAATAGGTATGCGCACCGATTTTTCATTCGTTGTGTCTGTTTATAGCCTTTTCTCCGTTTCGCACACAGCGTGGTGTATTTTTCTCTTTAGAAGTTATATTTTTCGATGTCCCCTCATGTGGAATTACAAATTAGTACTCAAAAAATTTTATT